GAAAAAACTGTGACTAACCACGTTTAGCAAAGTGCATATTTGACTGAAAATAAAATTGGAAGTCATTTCCAGATCATTTCATTAAGGGCAGCAGGGGTTACAGTGCTTGATCCAGTGTGGAGATGAGAGAAAAAAGGGGGGGGGTGAAGTGTAGGGAAAAAGGAAGACGACTAGGGAAATTTTCCTGGCTCACAATAATTTCATAAGAAATTTTAACACTTTCTGATTTGGATTATAAACTTCATATACAAATCAATTCATGTCCAGATATATTGCATTGGCTAGTCTATCATTAATAGCTTGAGAATTTTTTTTATTCCTGAGATAGGTTTTTTAAGTACTTTCCTAGATGACAGACTAACTTCTCTCCTTAGAAACTCTTATGATTTCAAAAGAGCCTTTGCAAATTTTTGTTTGATAGAATAGTTTTTCTTATAAACCTTTCCTTTGTGTATGTTTATCGAGGTAGGCTAAAACACTGCATGCTACTTAAACTTGATTGTAGTAATTAGGCTTCTTTCTAATTATACACACTTTGAAGTATTTTTGGAGACCGTAGATAGTCTGACAATCCATGCAGAAGAAATGTTCTGTGTTTCTGTATGTGGGTATTTAGTTCCTAAGCCCTGAAAGTGTTGACACTTTCTAGTTCAGTTTTCCTTGATGCAGGAAGAGGAGTAAAATAAACTGCAATTCACAAAGTTAACCACTGCTCTCTCCCAGCCCAAATAACTGAATCTGTAGTCTGGGCAAAGGAAACATTGTATACGTTTCCACCAGTGCATAGCAAAGACCCACTTGGTCATGTTTTCTATTGTCCTACCTGTCTAGTACTTGCTGTGCTTCACCTCTGAACTCAAAATCTCAAATTACCTAGCCTTACATACTTTTTTTTTTTCTGAGTATAATTACACATGTGTGGTAAGAAAAAGTAAATAACATTTTTCTGGAGAACATCCCGAGTGACTTTCTCTGGTGATCATTTGAAGCTGCCTTGTAAAAACCAACTTGTACTGGGTGAGAGTAAGAAAAATTCAGTATTTCTGGCGGCATTTGAAGGAAGTAGAAAAAGTCTTATTTAAGTCATAAAATTGGAATCATGCACTAAGGGAGTAACAAATTTGGTCAGGAACTTTAGAGAATTATTTGAAGAAAAAGAATTCACAAAGGTATAACAAAATTGGAGTTTGTTAAATCTAAGCATTTTTAATGTTAAATTTCACTGTTGCCCTTTTATCTTGTCATAAAGAAGAAGACTGTTATTTGACATTAGAGAACAAACATCGCTGACATTTGTATCTATCTAATAATGGTATAGAAATTTAATTAGGAACATGACAGATTTTTCAATATCTGATAACTGTTATGAAAGCATTGCTTCATAGAATTAATGGGAAGAAATTATAAGGAAGTTGCTAGTATGAGTATTTACATGTATTTATAAATTGTAAGCTTTCAATGAAGGAAAACATTTTTAACAAATATGTATTATAGCATTTTGGTTAGAATTAATTACCTTCAGATAGACAAAATTTGAATACTTCTCTGGGGATACATCTATATTTGGAAATAATTTAGCTCGTATCTCAGGCATAATTAGCAAATAACAGTAAATCTCCATTGTATAAAAACCTATCTGTGAGAAATTGAAATCCAGAAGTCAATATTAAACTAAAATTTTAATTAAAAATGGCCAACAGAAGTTTAGAGGATTTAAAAGAAATTAGTAGTCTTGAGAATCTATGATCTCAAATAGATAAGACAGACATTCTTCATCCTAATGAAAAAGACACCCAGGTAGATGGATTTAACTTTTTAATACACATTTTTATGTTTCATAGTTTGATTACTTTTAAGATTTATCTTTCAATAAACAGACCCTGGACATTGAACATCTTTTAATTGTTTTTTCTGTTAATGATATCTGAAAGATTAGCTAATGCTCTGATGTTCACTAGCACATATTTTTAGAGTTAAATTCGGAAAAGAAATTTTGCAGTAGTTGCAATCCTGCAGTTATTGAATATATACAGGAAAGATCTGTTAAATGTTTTATAAATTAATCCATAATTAGCAGACAAAGAAGAGATAGAATTTTAAAAAGCCATGTAGGAGAATAGGTACTGAAGTATCACTAATTCCAATATGGTGTGTACTAATGTACCCCAGTTCTTCAGAAAAACCGAATCACTATAGAGAACACTTTCCATCTTTCTCAAAATCTCTTTCCTCACTATAAGTGTAATGGTTCTTGTGCTTGATTTTAAAATGATCAAACTCACCACTAGCTTTAGTGACATTGTGTGTTGGAACTTCTGCAAAGCCCAAATGTAGACATTTGATTAATATGGCAGAAATACGATTTCAGATTCTATGACAATTAGATTCACAAAACAAAATGAGACAAATAAGTACCAGCACAATAAATAAGACACTTGATTACATATATTTTAGAAAGGCTCAATCTGAGTTGGAAATATGCATTTCATGAATCAAATAAGATATCATGTTCCTTTACTAAATATATTGAAAATAATTTACATGTAAAAATGTGATTAGAATGGCATTTCTCAGTAGATTTAATATTTTTCATTACATATATATATTCAATATTGTGTGGTAGGAATTAAGATTTGACTAAATTGAAGAAATAACTGATAATACAGCGGTCACTAAGTTATTATTTTAATCATTCTTGAAATTTCCAGCCGACAAACTTAAAATATTCTCAGTCCTTGCTTATGTAACTCAGAAAACACAGACTTCACAAGACTGTCAAGGACAACTCTGAATGGTAATGTTTCCATTTTCAACCTCATGGCAGAAAGTTATTAACCAATGTAAGCTCTAGAATGTCAAAGACATGATAGGCAGCATAGACTCAATACACAAAGTAGATGCATGGTCATTTTATGCTAAATTGCTGTACTTGAAAATGTAGCATAAAAAATGTAGCATAAAAAAGAGGTTTTAAAAAGTAGTTTTCACAGGGTTTTAAAATATTCAGGCTTGAAAAATAAGCCTTATGATTAAAATGCTCATGCATTTAAGATTGTGATATAGCTATATTAATAAATTTCTCCCAAACTTGTAACATTTGAATAACTAAAAACATAGAAGTATACATCATTATTTTGTAAGTAGAGAAAGCAATGTTGCTAGAAAATAAGCCATCAATATCCCATGTGTTCTTTTTCTTACATTGTTACAAAAGTATTGTGGAAGCAAAATCATTTATTAGAAATTTTGAATACCTATCCTAGGAAATCCCAGTTATAGTTGCATTGTAAGGTTTTGGACTTGCGGATCCCAGGATAAACACTTTAGTTCTCCAGCAACTAACCGTTTTTAGTCCTGTTATATTTACTTTGTATTTTCTCTTCAGTGAACTCCTGTTTATCTTTACTGAAAAATTGACACCATGATTTTTTAAGATAATTGCAAGTATCAAGTCATAGTGTTACTTGATTGAAAGAAAGAACGACTTTTTCAGAGGCGTGTTTATAAGTTAGAAAGCTAGGCTCTGAGTTATTTTGGTTCTATTCTAGAATTCAGTTAAGAAAAGGTATTATTCATTTATTTTTTTTGCCAAGGGTGATATACTTGTATTTATACTAAAAACCTTATGGTATTGTAATCTTTGTGTAATCAGAAAGGACCAGATTCATCCATGTATATTATCACCACCTTCTCCCACATGATACCACTAACTTTGTAATTGTTTGACCTTTATTTGCTTAGAATATGTAGAGTGATCAGTTCAGAAAATATCCCTGTCCTCATGGATCTTAGGTTCCAGTAACTAGAAAGAAAATAACAAAGGGCTATAGTGATGCAGGAATGTTTGAGCACTGGCATTGCTAGGATTAAGGAGGTGATACAATTAGAATAACTAAGGAGTGACTTCAGAGGAGAATACTCATCACAAGTCCCCCTGGAAAGATGACACTGAACTTAAGTCTTGAAATATATGCAGAGATTATATAAAGATCTAGAGGGAAAAAAGTCAGGCTAAGGGAAGAATTTGACTCATTCATGGACCAGACAAGGCAAGATATATGAACCATAGTATGAGAGGGCAACAGTAGTATACAGTTAGATTGGTGAAGGAGGTTCATGCTAGATAATGCATGTAAAGGATTTGGATTTTTATATTTAATGTGTCCATTAGTTTTAATACAAAAGCATAATATCTGATTTATACTTGGATTAGAAGACCAGGATAAAACATAAAAAGCAGAACACAGTCTGATGGAAGGCTAATAAGGAGAGGATGGGTGGATAAAACTTAGGGAAAGAAGGCGTAAAGAATAAAGGAGTGGTCAAATAGTCTAGTAATCAAAGTGTCATATGAAATGCTATAAAAATAGTTACTGGGGACTAAGGACTTAGCTAAGTGGCCTGACCACCTGCCTGGCAAGCATAAGGTTGTGAGTTTGATCCCCAGTTTAAAAAAAAAAAAAGGTATTGGATTTAGAAAGGTGAAAGCTGATGTTTAACTACAACAGATTATTCTATGAGAATAAGATGAATAATAGGGTTATTAGTAGCACAGTAAACATTGAAGACCCAAAATTTTTTTGATGAACTAAACATGTAACATAAGAAAGTAGCAGAGATATTGCTATCTCATGATAATCTATTTTATTTCTGTGATATTAAAGAACTTCCATAAAGTTAGAAAAGATTGAAAATAGATGGAAGTATGGGTCATTTTAGAAAAAAAAAGTCATTGAAAAACAAAGATGTTGTGGGATAAGTAGAAAAATATCCTTTTCACTTGCCAATGCAAAGTTTCTCTTTATACCTTCCAGTTTAATTGGCAACAGAAAATACAAACTACGCTGAGTGCTATAGCAGCATATTTGCTTACAATTTTTGTAGTTTAACGAGAAATTATCCTGTACACAGCAGAAATACTGTACACACATCCGGGGAGAAATGATTTAAATGTAAAGATTGGACTGTTAACTTGATTTTTGAAAAAATTTATCTTTCAGGTGCTTCAAGAAGATCTAGAACAGGAGCAAGTGAGGGTCAATTCTCTCACTCACATGGTGGTAGTAGTTGATGAATCTAGTGGAGATCATGCAACCGCTGCTTTGGAAGAACAACTTAAGGTCAGATCATTTTCTTTAAAGGTCCTTCAAAATACCTAATTGCAGCTTGAAAATATATCAAGATAATTGAAAGTGTGAATCATTACAAATATTTGAATTCATTCTATTTACAAAAATAATTCAAATTATTTCCTCTGCGTGCAGATTTTCCATCCATTAACTTACACTGTTTATTAATGCTGGATTTCTTGCATTTCAGAAATATACCAATGCAGATTCATTTATTTTTATTATAGATGAATTATACATATTAGAGAACTAGTCTAGGGAATACTATGTAATTCCTCTTCAATCCGATGGAGTAATGGAGAACAAAGATTTTTAACAAAGGAAACATATTTGTTTCAATGAAGATATATTGAATATCTTCATTAAATTTATTCATGTATGCCTTCAGTTGTATCAACATGCAAACATAGCAAGATGTTTATGTCATGAAATACAGTTTGAGTAGATGTTTAACTTTGAAGTCTTTTCCCATCCTAAATCACAGTGTATGTGTTTTTGAGAACACAACTAGTACATCTTAATAGAACATTTTGAATATTTTAATGTGTTTCTTCTAAACTGGGTATAATCAAATGATACTATAAAAAAGAGTGCAATAACAACATTAAAGAAAAACACAATCTTTTTTTTTCTGAATTCATAACCATACTATTATATATTCCCACTAGAGATTATTTTTGAAGCATCCATTGTGCCCACCAAATGCCTGTTTTTTTTTTTTTTCTTGGTGATAGACTTTTGGATTAAATTTATTTAAGCTACCAGTCTCCAACAATGTTATCTCAATCTGTATCATTAAATGAAAAAGGGAAAGCTCTTGTATTATGTTGGACATTGCTACAAAAAAGCATTTAATATACAGTAGCAACCTATTTTAATTAATATTCAATGAAATTACCGAGATCTGAAAGGCTTATGTCATCTGTTATATTAATGTCAGCACATATATGATCATTTATATTGCACATACTCATATGGAGACTCCTGATCAGCTAGTGTACTACACTTTAAGGAATTCCATGGTTTTAATATAATAGTAGTATATAAGCACAAGTAGGAAAAAATCTATTACTCAAATTTTCCCAGAATTGTACAGAAAAGATAAAAAAAAAAAAAGACTGTAGAGCAGGGATTGCTTGGAGAGGTAACTGGCTTTAAATTGCAATAGGGTAGAAAATTTTCTCCTAGACTATTTCTAATCAAACCAAGTGGGGAAAGTCCCTGGTTAACACCCAATTTGACATCAACTAACCAAACAGTTACCTTACAGTGTAAATGTTCCTAAGTAACATCTATGGAAATAAAGCATCTTAGAAATAGTCAATAAAACTCAGAAATGCTACTGGATTAGATCTTAAGGTAACTTGGTTGGGATGTGCTGAAACTTTTCTATATTCACTTAGTCATTAACCCACTTGCTTTCATTTTTTTACCTTATTCACTGCCTTTGTTTCTTTAGTCCAATGAGCTGTGCCTGACCTAACTATGCCTAATTCATATATATCAATGTGCATTGCATATCATTGCCTTCCATTGAGTGAGTGTTGGCAACTGCCTCCCAACCTCCCTTTTGAAATTCTCTTTCCCTTCTTGATTCTCTTATTTTGCGTCTACATAGATCTGTACTGACACCTAATTTATAAACACACTAGTGTAGTGTCTAAAAGAAAGAGTTAGAAGAAAATTAAGTAGAGACAAAGCTCTGATTACTTTCTTCCTATCACATAATTTTCATCAGTTCCAAAGAAATCTGTATTTGAATTTCCATATTTATATAACCAACAATTGGAATTGCCCTCAAATACTATGTTCATGTTTGACTTTGAAAGAGAGCTGATTATTTATTAGATTTTTTCCAAGTCACATAATCTTCTCTTACCTAGTTTAGTTTTTAAAAGAAAGAGGCAGTAGATGTACTAGAAAAAATAGGGAAGGTGAAATTACAAATAATTGAAAAACAAACACATTAGAAGAACTCTTTTAATAATGACACAAATACCCAAGGCAAGTCATAAGAATTTCATGTTTGTTTTGGAATCTGTAGGTTGTGTTTCATAATAGGTCCAGAATAGGTTTGGTAGAAGTAATTGGAAAAATTATAAGAAAGATGTGTATGGAATCTATGTCAAAAAAGAACTTATATTGGAGCCTGGTCATCTGTACCTTCTTTTCAAAGATCTGTCAGTGTTAAATACTTCTCCCACACTTTCTCTTTCTGTTTCATAGCTTCCCATCTACAAAAATGCCTTGATCTTTTTTCTTCCAGTCTAATGTAAAGCCACCCAATGGCTCAAAAAGTATAACCCGTTCTTTTTTATAAAGAATTACTAGTATGGGAAACTAGGAGAGTGACTCCTCAATTAAGTATAATTTCCCCGCCTCAGGAAGCACAGAGTTACTTCACCAGTCCTTTGATACTTTTTTGAGACACAGTCTTCCTAAGTTGTCCAAACTGATTTCAATGTTGAGATTCTCTAACTTTAGGCTCCCAAGTAGCTAATATTACAGGTGTTTTTCACTTGGTTTGGTTTGAGAAGCACATTATTACCTCTTAAAACAGCCAAAAATATTTCCTATGGAATCTTAACATCAGTTGATTTAGTTCTATGAACTGTATTATCATGGCATTTCTATTTCTCCAGCTTTAATAATTGTAGAAGTTTCCATAAAATATGTGAAATAAAAAGTCATAATACATGCTTACAAATTTTAAAATATGCACAAATCATAAAAGATAGTCTAAAATTTGCACTCTCTCAGAAGAGAGCTTCTGAGAAAAAGGGATTAATTTAATGCATAGCCAAGAGTTTTGTATTTAACTTTAGAGGTGTCTATGATGTCAAAGTATACAAAGCCTTATTTATAAACATGATATTAGTAAACTATTTTTTGAGAAATATGTTAGATGAATACCTGAGGTTGATAACTTATATATAGTTTTTGGTGCTGGAATGAGCATATCAATTTCTGTGCATCCTACATCCTATTTTTTCATTGCTTAAAGCAAGTACTTGTTATATTCTTACTATGCTCCAAGGAATATTTCAAGGTTTCTAGTAAAACAGTAAAAAAAGAATGTTACTAAGATTCTTGTTGGAATGAATAATTTGGGGCCTGCCACCTTCATGGGACTCTCAGAAAAACAATAACCATGTCACAGTCTACTTGTTTGAAATCAAATGCTAATTTGGTCCTTATCATTCATGATCACCATTGTAAGCATTATACACATAGTTATGCTATCTTTGTACTTTCAATTAGATATAAGTATCACATTTGGCCTATGAAACAATAAGCAAATATTTCTATTGGACATAATATACTTCTTAAGGGATGGAACAAGTTCTGTGACATGAAGTTAATCTGACATAAAGTGAATTTGGAATACATGAAGTGATTATTACGAAAATCATTTAGATAGAAATAGATAGAATATTTTGACAGAAACAGGATAAAAGGTGTATGTATAATTTTTAGAGGCAGATAGAGATAAGAATAGGAGGATACTATGAGTGTGGTATATTCAAGGAACTGAAAGAAGACAAATTTGATTATATTTTTGAAATTCAGAAGTTTTATACCAGGGGTTTGTTTTATAGGCCAACATTTATGAATTATAATTAGCATAAGTATGTTAAACACCACCATAATACACCCAACAAGTATCTGAAGCCCATGGTATATGATAGAGTAGCACCAAAGACTACACTATCAAATGGGGCAGAGGTAGCAACTGTGGCACCTGCCTTCCTGGGCTCATAGTAATCAAGCTTATTTAAATGTGAAATTATGCTCATTGTCCATTCAGTATGACAAAAATATGCATTTCTAGATTCTGTATCATTCTCTAGAAGATCAGGAATGACCTACATGCATGACCTTAATTGAGATATAAGGATTCAATAGAAGTAAACTGGGAAACACCAGAGAGTTGGGAATATTCTGATCTTAACAGCATTTCCTCAACAAATATGTATTAAATAACATCTAAGTGCTAGCTATAACTACAGGCTTAAGGTTGTGGACAAAATACCATTCTTATATGGAGCTCATAATCCAAGTAATTATAATAAACAAATATTATGTGCATTTGCTACTTTTTTGTCACTGGAATAAAATACACTCACAAGTCGGAGAAGGTTATTTGCCTCCCAGTTTCCAGTCAGCTCAGTTAATAGTTGACTGACTCTGAGGTGAAAATGACATGGTGGAAGGGCATAGCAGAGAAATATTTCTCAATCCATGGTAGCAAGGAAGCAGAGAGAGATAGGAGCAGTTATAAAGGATGATATATCATCCAGGCACATCCCAAGTGACACAGTTCTTCCAACCAGTTCCCAATTTCTAACAGCATATATAACTGTGAAATCATCAATGAATAAATTCATAATGATTATAGCATCCCTGTTGTCTAGTCACTATCTGAAAGTTCCACTTTTGAACACATGAGAATTCCAGATAGCATTCTTTATATAAATTATAATATTCTAACCGTGACTCCCAAAAAACTATTATCCATCTTATTATGTGAAGTGAATTTGGTCCATTTCTAAGAGTTGGCAAACTCTTAACTATTTTAACAGTGCTGAATGTCCAAGTCCAGAGTCTTCTTGGAGACTCAAGACAAACTCATTGCTGTGAGCCCCTGTAGGAGCAAAAATTTAAATGCTTCCAAAATACAATGGAACGAATTGGAAGAATGGGGACTTTAAAATGAATCAAATAAAAACAAGATCAAAGCAGAGCAAGAAGTATCTCTTTAACTCCAGGCCCATCATCCAGGGAAATCTGTGGACGATTGTGAAATCAACAAGTCTTGAGCAGGCGGCCCTACTGCTTTTCTGGTTGCATCTCACACAACCTTTCTCTTGGACTGGTGCTGCTCACTTCAAGTGGCTTTTCTCAACAGAGATTCTATGTACCTGTCATCTTCAAATTTCTGGATCTGCACTGTAACTTTAGCTTCATTTCACAGCTTTATACATCAACCC